GATTAAATACGTTCAACCTATAATGGAGGTAGAATAGACGAAATTGAATAAAACTTAATCTACCTATCATTCATGAAAATAGTTTACAAAAATTTAATCTTCATACAATTATAAATCCATACTAATATATATGTTGATATCGTATTATCGTAATTAACTTGTGATGGAAGTAGAAGAAAAAAGTTGAGAAATAGTTAACACAATTAACTTGTGATGAAGGTAAAAGAAAGAATTGAGATACAGGTCTGGAGTAGGAAGAATGAGATACAATATTTAATTCTAAAATTAAGTAAAAGATAATCCTATAAATAAGAGGAGAAGAGATAACATGTATCACAATTTAATTAGGGAATTGTTATTGGCTTTCCAAAAATCTCATTTGCATTCCAAACTTTCTATAATTAGAAAAGAAAATACATTAATGAGATTTTTAGAGTGCTAATAGTAGTTCATTTTAATAAAAAAAAGATAATAAAAAGAAGGTGATGTTAGTAATCAGTGAATGAACTAACGTAACAAAGTGAACTAAACTTAATAAGAACTTATATCAAGTTTACTCTAATAAAAAAAATCATGTTGTTTTATTTTTATTTTAAACAAACGATTGGATTTAGATTGGATTTTCTTATTGAGACCCAATATATGAGGAAGTTTTTTTTGTAGGGCTTTCAAATTTGAGTTAATTTTTTACACTATGCATGGTTAGTATGGCATCGGATAAGACCAAAATACAAAAGTCTCATGCTTTTTTAGCACCTACTTCCAACTTTTGTGCGCCAATGTAACATTTCAAACCAATAATGTAGTTTAATTGGATTTTAATTTCTATGGATGCGGTAGTAGCATACATAAGCGTGAAGGTAAGTCTCACTTCATATCTTTGTGAGAGGTATTCAACGGATGAAGAATATATTGTATAAAAAGCATATGAAGAGAGCATGCAAAAGGGTAGGCAAACATGGTTTTCCCAGCCAGATAGGCAAAAACTTGCACAAAGGGAATAAGCAAAGGAGTTAGCAAATTATATCACTCCCCCAAAGAAGTAACATGCTACATTTCATGTAATACAATTTTGCCAACTTGATTTGCATATTCTCTTAGAGATGCGTTAAACAATCGGAACAGATGTATCATTTGACTGTTCACATGAAAGCATTCTCCATATTTTGGTGGTCCCACCAATTTTACATATTCCACTCTTATAAATTGCCTGGCATTCGTGTCATATGTTTCATGTTCGTGTCATACCCGATAGTTTAACAAGTCATGTCGTGTAACCCTCGTTAAAATAAACGGGTAATATGACCCGACCTGTTAATATTATTAGGTAATATGACTCAACTTGTTACCCATTAAGAAAAATATATTTAAATCAATAAATAATGAAAATGAAAAACATAATTTGATCCAAAAATATGTAAAACATAATACTAAATTAGTATATACATACCACATTGTTACATAAATATTACTTCAAAACATAATTAAAAAAAAAAACATTTGTCTTTCAAGTTTACATACTCCAAAATAAGAGTCTAATGAAAAAACATTAGTGCATGCTATAAAATACAAATGTTCAAAGATATGCAAAATGAAGAGAGTTGCGTTTCAAGGTTGAGGAACCTTGCATGTTTTTGACAATAAAACCCTTCAATTTTCATCAATCACCAAGGGAAATGGTATTGGAACTTTGGTTTGATATATTGTTTTCAAGCGTTATGTTGATGATGTATTCACTAAGATTTTCCATAATCCATAAACTATAGATCTAAATTTAACCGTTGATTGTCGTTTATATTTACGTTCCATTCTTCTCACCAATTTTTTTTTTCTTTTCGGATTTTCTTTTTTGAAAACATGATCTCTTAGAGAATGCAGGAAGATGAACAGTTCAGATCGTCGATATTACGTTTAGAGCGTTACCATTAGTGAAAATATAGCTCAAAGTTTATAAAGTCTCTAGAAACTATATAACATCAACTCATATTTTTAGTTAACCGTAAATATCGGAATGTCGTATTAACGATCCGAACCGTTCATTTTTCTAATCCACTAAAAGACCACTTTTCAAAAAAGAAAATCTAAAAAATGAAATTTGGTGAGTAGAATAAAGTCTAAATAACAATGGACGGTTCAATTTAAATCTAAGGTTTATGAATTATGGTGTCAGATTTCGGAGTTGACCCCTTCCCACAAGTTATAAAACTTGTCATTATGAGTGATTGTATATTTTTTTTTTTTACATTTTCACACTTCTACAATAATTATTATTAATTTTTCACTAAAATAAAAACACTATTCATGAGATTTGGATGGTTTTAAAAATTTAAACGACCATATATGTAATACCTTGAAAAATTTAAAGATATGAATTAGATAATATAATTATGAATATGTGGAGAAAATCGAAAATAAATCGATTTATGGTTATGAAAATAGAATTGGGAATTTTAAAGTTTTTATTTCTTGAAATTATTATAATTTACGTTGTAAATTTTATCGATACGTGGGAAAAGGAAAAAAAATGCCCTAGTGGTATAATGTAGATATACGAGGATGTATTCTAATATATCTTGTCGTATTTCTTAGCATAATTTGATAGAATTTGATTCTATGAGTGTGTAGGCGAAAACCATTCGTCAAGCGGAATTATAACGAATAAAATAGAAACGGACGAGCATAGGGGCAAAGTGGTCATTTTACTATGAATCTAGAAAGCTCCATAATTTTGGGAGCTTGTCGTGGAAAAGAGGGAAGGAAAAAATAAAAATAAAAGAATAAAAAGAAAGAAAAAAATGAAGGGAGAAGGAGGGGGGAGAAGGAAGAGAGTTGCAGGAGGAAAATGAGGAAGAGGAGGGCGAATCAGGAAGGAGAACAGGGAGGGAAAGGAGGGAGTGGAGAGGCACTCAACCAAACCTCATTTTCCCTTGACCCATCTCCAACCCGTGATCTGTTTCCAAAACCGGTCACATCGAGTTGATTCCGGTGCAATATTCACTATTTTCCCCGGTGAATTGGGACTTCCCTCACCTGCAAACATCATCATGCTCCTCCTCCTTAGTTAATCACCCATAGATTCGAAGCAAGGGTGTCCTTTTCATGGGGTATGGCAACGATGGTGCCGTGGGACTGTTGGGGAAAAATTCTGAAAGAAATCCGATCAATTTCCTCCACCATTAGACTCTTCTTGAGCACTGGAACAAAGCCCAATTATTGGTTGAGGCGTTGGAACGGTTTTGGAGTCGAATTGAAAACACCATTTTTCTAGGGTTCCAACGGGTTTTAGTAAAATTGGAGCTTTTCCCAGCCAAATTGGACTTGGCCCGGCCAAATTGGACTTGGCCATAAGTATAAAGTTTGCTTTACTCTTTGAGATCTTCATTTCTATAATTTTTGAGAATTTTTAGAAATAGTTAAATTTTCTGGTGAGTCGGGGCGACCGACTGTCACCCGCGGCGGCACGTGCGGTGGCGCACGGCCAGGGAGCAGAAATTGTGTTTTTATGTGAGTTTCGTTATTCTAATTATGCTTTTGAGATCTATTTGTTGTGGTTTGAATATTAACACAATTGTGGTATATATTGGATTAATTGAATATATTCGGTTTGAATTTTGGAAATGTGAACTACAAAAGGCTTGATCCCGCTCAAGGGTACGTAGGCAGTCTAATAGAGTTTGGATGTAGTCTTAAATATTCGAGAACTAATATTGAGAGGGAAATTTTGATCTAAGCGAGGGAAATGGTTCTAAATTGGAAGTGAAATTGTATGTTTTGGTAAATGAATAATGGTTATGGATTAGACGTGGGATGAATGAAAATATATGGAGAATGATGACTAATGTTAGTGTATTAAATCATTACTTTAAAGATATGTTTTGACATTTAGAAAAACATGGATAGTTTTGTACGGAACTAAATTGTTCGAAGTAAAGAAATGTAAGTAATGGTAATAAATTAACCATGATTCTAAATTGGGCCTATCATTGAAATTAACTCCCGAAATAAATATATTTTGGGGCGGGGTGTGACAATATAACCATCGTCTAAGCATAGAAGATACAACCATGTAACCATCGCCTAAGTGTAGAAGATGCAATCACGAGCCTTTATATATGTTTTCACATTTTTCAGACTTATACATTAATAATTATGAATTTTATTTATTTTGAACTCCCTTAAAAATACTATTCATGAGGGTTTGTATGGTTTTAAAAATTCAAACGACGACGTACCCATCCTCAAAGCGTAGAGGATGCGATTACGAGTATTTGCATATTTTTTTCACATTTTTCACACTATTAAATTAATTATTATAATTATTTAATATTTTTGGTATTTTTAAATTTCTTGATATTTTTATTTTTAATGTGTTTTATAATTTTTTTTATCTCACTCTTTGCCTATAGTATACTATAAAAATAAATAAATAAATACATAAAACTTAAATTTTTAAAATTTATATAGAAATACAATAATATTTAATCAACAATATATACATATCCATTATATCTATTGTATTTTATAGTAAGTTTTTTTTAGTAGTTTAAAAAATTAAAATCATCAAAATAACAATTTTCTTATCTGTGTCGAAATAGATTACCCGTGTGTCACTCTCGTGTAAACTTGTTAAGGACATGTTATTAACAAGTTCTTATCATATGATCCGATAACGACTCGATTAGTTATTGTGTTAACTCAAAATCCGTTATTTTCGTATTATTTACATGTCGTGTTAACGTATCATGTAAAAAACTGCTAGATCTACTTATAATTATCATACTACGACAACCATACTAAAGTTTTGTTTTTAAGAATGACGTTGTCGGGCAACCCTCCTAAATTTGTCGTAAAGTCATTAGAGGGGTGAGCTTCCATCAATAATCATAAGCTGCCAACCCACTGTTTCCTCACAACTCAAAAATAAGAAGGAAATTTTGACCTTATTTTTATATTTGTTATGAAAAATCAAACCAATAAAAATAACCCCAAAAACAGAGAGAGTTAGTATTATAATAAGAGGGAACTTTTTCATAATTTGAAGTATCTACAAACACCTTACCCTCCAATCACTGCCACCCACCTTCAAACTCTCTCTCTCTCTCTTCCTCCCTGTCTCTCTCTCTCTCTAAAGATATTAGCAAAAATTGAGATTCATTTCTTGAAGCTTGCTATAGTTTTCTCTTTCCATTCATAGCGCAAACACTACACTTTTGTTTTGTTTTCTTTCTTCTCTTTTCTTTGTTGCTCAAAGGGCCGCCAAAGAGAAAAGAAAAAGAAAGGAGAAACCTTTCCCAACTTTTACTTCTCACTCCTCTGAAATTTAGAGCCTCTCTCACTCCTCTCCCCAATTGGGGTTTCCCCATTCTTTTCAGTTTCTCTCTCTTTCCAAATTGGGATGTGTTAGAATTGAAGAAGAAGAAGAACAAGAAGTTGCAGGTACAAGTGAGCTTTCCTCTTTCTGAAAACGTTTTCTGGTTCTCGGTCTATGATCTTTGAAGCTTCAATGGGTTCAGATCCCATTAGGGTTATTGGGGTTTTTGGATTAGGTGCAAGTTAGGCTAATTTAAGTTTCTTGATTTGGAAAGATATTTGTTTGGATTTCGAAAAGTTGGGTTCTTTTTAGATTCCTCAGAAAAAAAGTATTCTGATTCCTTTCAAAATGCCCCTTGATTTAACACTCATTTCATCCCTCTGAAACCTCCACCCTCTCTCTATCTCTCTCTGCATTCCCTCTTAAGGGTTCTCCTTCCCCTGCTCTGTTTCTTCAAATCCTTCGAGTTTTTCGGTATGCGAGCGTGAATTGGAGCTCTTTAATTCGATAGTATGAAGTTTGAGATGGAGATTCTGTCCCCTTCGTCCTATTTTTCGACTTCGAATAGGCTTGTCGAAGAGAGCAAGGGCGCGAGATGGACTCCGGCGGAAAACAAAATGTTCGAAAACGCCCTGGCGTTGTACGACAAGGACGCGCCGGACCGATGGCACAAGGTGGCGGAGATGATACCGGGGAAGACGGTGAGGGACGTGATGAAGCAGTACGAGGAATTGGAACTTGATGTTGGCAATAGAAGCAGGGCTTATTCCGATTCCGGGATACAGCCCCTCTCCATTCACATTGGAGTGGGTGAACAGACACGGTGGCTATGATGGGTTCAAACAGCAGTCTTATGGGATTGGCGGCAAGAGATCTTCGTCGAATCGCCCTTCGGATCACGAAAGAAAGAAAGGGGTTCCGTGGACCGAAGAAGAACACAAGTAAGTTTCCCCAGTGAAAATTTCAGAACGTAATGTCATTTAGTAAGCATTTAAGTTTCTAACTTCTTCCGAGAACATGATCTCATTGAAGTTTTATGTTTTTCGAGCACGAAATTTAGATATAACTTTGGTATTGCATCCGAAAATTATGTTGGTTAAGAATTTTTTAAAGTGATTTATTTGTCAGACATTGTTTTGACATGATATTTTGATGATTGTTTGCATAGGCTGTTCCTAATGGGACTGAAGAAGTATGGCAAGGGGGACTGGAGGAACATCTCGAGGAATTGTGGTGACACGAACACCGACTCAGGTCGCTAGTCATGCACAGAAGTACTTCATCAGGCAGCTTTCCGGGGGGAAGGATAAGCGAAGAGCCAGCATCCATGACATAACAACTGTCAATCTCAACGACATGAGAACTCCGTCTCCAGACAACAAAAGTCCTCTCTCTCCAGAGCTGCCTCAGCATCCGAATTCTGCTGCCACCGCTAGGGCTCCATTTCAGTGGCATCAGCCGCAAGGCGGTGGAGTAAACTTGGGTTTTAATCAAGGGCATGGAAATATGTTCATGTCCTCCCATCCTTATGGGATTAGTTCATACGGACAAAAAATGCAGGGGCAGGATCTGCAGCACAAAGGTGCTGCTAATAACTTGTACTATGGACCGCAAAATTTGGGTTTTCAGATGCAATCCTCGCAGCACTACCCGCACGGATGATCTATCAATGGCAGTTCTCCTGTCCTCAATCCTCTGCAGCTTCATATGCCATTATGGTCCTTTAGTTCATTAGTGTAGCTTGATCCGACCCTTTTTTTTTCATGGTTTAATGTAAATATGTTGTTCACAACTTTGAGTTAGCCAAGCAGTATTTGAGGGGAACAGGATTCAAGTTTTTTCTTGGAATTTCAAATTATGAAATATGAAACTGAGTTGAAGTATCTCAAACCCTATGGATTTCATGTTCTGCCCCTCTCTGGATTTCATATTCTTTTATGTGATAAGGTAGTGGTGAATTATTGCAGAAGACATCTAAAAGATGAACAAGAGCATGGATGAGAGAGATAATGATTTTACTTTCTAGAGTCCGGTTAGCGAAAAAAAACTTGTGTACGGCAGTCCAATCAGCTAGATGAGTAAGATGCTTTCTCAAAGGAACGGGCCCAACATCTAACCCCACATAGGTCATACTTCCAATGCACACCGGACTTTTGTGAGAGTGGCTAATCAACTTGTCAATGAGGCTGCCTTACTGAATATTTTCTCCCGACTTAAGAATCTTAAAGCAAGACGCTAAGCTGAACGGTTGACTGTCTCTATCTTATACCTTAAGAATGATTCCTCTAGTGAAGAATGGAACCTGGAAGGAGATAATACACCAGATCAGATGGCAGACATAGAAATTCCAAGTTTTAATGGTAATGAAATAACAGGCACAATCAAGATAAGCATCTTTTGTCAAATTGTGAAAGCATAATTAGTATGAATCTTGTGACCAGGATTAGTACTAATTATGATTAACTTAATACGCACGGGGATCTTCCAAGCTTTAATTTTTCTTTACTCTTTGAATTTTAGTCAAATGTATATGACTTCTAATTTTGCCACTTAATATAATTAGGGAAAAATTAAAATTATAGAAAAGTCTATGAGCATCTCACATTGTGCTTTAATTGCTTGGAATAATATAAAGAGAATGATTCATGCATGCTCATTTTCTCATTTTGCACAATTCTATTTATTTTTGCCATTAATTCTCTTTTATGATTGATATGTCATGGGGTCGAGTCGTAAAAACAATTTTTTTGTAAATCAAGGGCAATGATGAGTATGATAGTCGTTTCCCCAGATCCTTGCAAAGTAGGGAGCCTTGTTGGCTTGAGGTTGCTTTTATCATTAGATTAATTCAATCAGAAATAAATAGAAGTTTATCGAGGGAGAAAAGACATTTGCGGAAATCACTTCCCTAATCTAAATCTTTCCTAACTAGCCTTTGGACTGTGCAGTTAAACTAGTTGGTTTCCACCACAAAAATCAAGACCGTGGATGCTGGGTTTTCAATTCAGAGAGGCCAAGTCATAGAGCACTTATGTTTCGAATTCGATGGTAATTGGCAATTCAGACGGCCTACTTTTAACTCTTTTTAGACTGTCTCACTAAACTTTGGTACAAAAATGGGCAAGTTGACTAGGCAAGACTTTCGAAGTCCAAAACTTTGATCAAATGCTGACCAAATACTTACTCTTCCCTGCACTAACTCAAGTATCTTATGCTTGTTCAGTCACTTTTCCGGCATTGTTACTATGAGATCCTCTTCTAATTAGGTAAGAAGATCCCTACTAGGGATGTTGATTAATGATTTAATTACACTAGAAATTACTCGGCTCGTTACATGCAAGAAGTATTATTTCCTTGAAAACACAATTTGATGCGTGAACATAAAGTCTTTTTTTTTCGTGGTTATGATTTTCACATTCCTTCCTTTCCCTTCCACACTCCTCTAATTGTTCATGTTCTTTGATTATCTTTTGATTTGTTCGATCCATTAGACATAAACAACGTGAGGATTGTGGAAATCATTTTGTGATTTTAATAACTCACTTCAGTATATGTGTCAACCTGTAATTTACCGTTAGTGACAAATGACTTGTAACTGTAAGGAGTCAAACAGTCCTCATTATGAATTTATAATAATATATAGCACTAAACAGGATATAGAACATATTTGATTTGGTAAGTGAATCTAATTTTGTGGTTCATGTTTTCTGTGCAGGATTTGGTTTTGATCATGGTGGTTTTGTGATTCTAAGTGTACGGCACCTACCAACTAAATAAATAGGGTAAATTACATAAAACTACCTCAACTATTAGGTCATTAACAATTTCATACCTCGTCTTTGAAAAGTTTCAATGTCATACCTTATCTTCAAATTTGTTACAATGTCATACCTTTGGTCAGTTGTCTATCAATTCCTCTGTTAAATGTTGACAGGGCCCACTTTCTATTAAAAAAATTAATAAAATATTAACTAAATATTAAAAATTTTAAATTAAAAAAAAACCAAACCCCATATCCCATCACCCCTTCCCTCCCCCCACCGCCGCCCCACGAAACCCCATCCCCTTCCCATCTTCCATCTGTCCCTTCCCATCTTCCCCATCCGTCGTCCCCCCCCCCCAAAAAAAAAAAAACTTCCTTCCAAACCCAGAACCCCACCCCTACCTCCCCCGCAACCCCCCCTTTCTTCCAACCACCTCCTCCTCCTCCACTATCTTCACATTCCCTCCCATTCAAAACTTAAAAAAAAAAAATAAAAAATTTGAACCCAGATTGTCTAGATCATCGCACCCCCCAACCCTTCCTTCCCCAGACCACCTCATCTTTCTCGTTGAAGTCGGACCACCTCAACTGGTGGTTTTTTTTTAATTTATTTTTTAATGAGTTCTGAATGGGAGGTGAGGTGAAGAGAGTGGAGGAGAGGGAAGTGGGGGTGGGGTTATGGGTTTGGAATGAAGGTTTTGGGGGCCGCCGGGGGGGGGGGGGGTGGTGTGTTGGTGATGGGATTTGGGTTTGGCTATTTTTTTTTTTAATTTTTAATATTTTTAATATTTAATTAAATTTTAATAGAAAGTGGGCCTCGCCTCGTGCCACGTTAGCATTTAACAAAGGAATTGACAGATAACTGACGGAATGTATGATATTGCAACAAATTCGAAGATAAGGTATGACATTGAAACTTTTTAAAGACGAGGTATGAAACTGTTAATGACTTAATAGTTGAGGTAGTTTTATGTAATTTACCCAAATAAATGTTAAAAGAGTTTTGATTGTTCTCTATTCAGATTACTAATTAAGTAGCTTTTTATTAGCAAAAAGACTACTTTACCCTTTTCTCTTAGTCAATGTATTATTATAATTTCACACACACACAGGATTTGAGATTCTCTTTTGTTGGAACTAACGAAAGATTTGAAGTAAAATTGAGCACATTAGCATTTTAACATTCATACAGTCGGCCCTACTAAACTTGGTTGTTGTTGTTTGTATTTGAGATTCTCTTTTGGTGGGAATATGATTGACTTGTATGTATTTCCTTTAGCCTTCCTTCTTTTATTTATTTGGAAGAAGAATCTTGCTCCTAATTAAGTGCTACTTTGAACTAGTTATATGCAATGCCATCTAGTAAGACAAGCTAACAATTATTACCTACTATTTAGCTCCATAAAGTCCAATGACACTACAAGCATACTTTTGGAAGTTGAGTTTTCCATCTCTATCCTTAGAATGAGGGAGTATTCAGTAAGGCTGCCGCACTATTGTGGTACAACAACAAATTCAAAGAGTGACGGACATGTGCATTGGGTGAGGGTTAGAATATAGGAGACGAGATGAGCCACATGGTCTGGATGCTCGTTTTGAAGTTTTTTCTCCCTCATAACAAGGTTTTTGTGGAACTGATTTCGGAGTTGGACTAATGATCTATAACCATACACAGGTTCTGTTAGGTGATACTATTTTCCTACCCTTATAAACCCATGAATTGATCAAACTCATTCATATCCGGTGTAGGGTTTCTGTCCATAACATTCACCCCTAATTGAACATAAAACCTCTCGTCTTCATCGTTGAACACCTTGCCTATCCGTCCATCCTATGTGTAACCCCTCGGCGGATTCAATCCACCCCTAATAATAACGTTGTGCACGTCATATAGTAGACATTCCGATGTGTTACTTTTCTCCAACAGAAGGTTAAAGAAAAAGGTTGAGAAAATTGAGGGAGAGAAAAAAAATGAAAAACTAAAAACAACTTCTGGTGATTTACTACTTGAAACTTCAACTTTATACAAAAGGAAACTCGCTATTCCAGAGCATACCAGTTAAACAAAATGGCAAAACAATGAACACAGTGCTCTAGTTGCACTGTGGTGTTTTTCATTTTGTTCCAATTTCGAGATAGGCATATAGAGTTATACCCCCACATGTTGGGCTAAATCTTGGGTGTAATAGGGAATATACCCTTTCTATCCGTCTCACTTATTGCGTAACCGTGCCAAATATAATTTTCTCGGTCAATGAGATACTGTTTTATTCAACCCTGCATATGGAGTAAAGAATCTCGACCAACATGGGCAATATAGTCATTTTAGGGTTTTTCACAGTCAAATGACAAAACTAATCACCATTTTTTTCCAACCCCCTATGCAACTTGGAGAGGAAAGCATCCTATACCACTTTATTCCTAGTTTGATTAACATCTCAAAAACTAATTCTAACCACATACATATAGTATCTCACTATCCCTACTACTTTCGGCAATCTTGTTTTCTCTCCATTTTCTCAACTTATATTCTGATTCTTCTCTCTCAAATTGCCAGTAGCTAAAATGCACAGCAGAATTCCCTATGGGGGCCTAAGTCCCCCTTTATGCTACAGTTAAACGGGATCCCTGCTAAGAAAGGACTCCATAGTCTCTAATTCCTGGTTTATATCAAAAGCAAAGATATGGGTGGACTTTTCAATAGGGTTTGATTCTATGATGCTTCGCTTCAGTGGCCCAATGGAGATATCTGGGAATAGTCTCTTGTGGGGGACCTATTTCTACTTATCAAAGTAAAGAATATGGATGGTCGGAAAGCAGAAGATATATCATATGTGAACAACATTAGTTAATGTAATCACAGATTAAACGATTTCATTTCTGTGTGAGTAATAAGAATCGGATAAACAGTTGAACAAATTAAAACATACCATTGTCAATAATACCAGTTGGGATACAAAGCTTTAGTCGGGAGATATGTGACTGGAAACGTTATCCTTCTCTCTCTTTATTGTAATAAAATCGAATTAAACTGACACTGTACATTGATCGGATTTTGACCGTATGATTTGTATCCGCTCTAAGAAAACTTCACAGTCCACAGTTCGTGCCAGCTGACTTGGCACGA